TCTCCGACGCCGAGTCCGACGCCGAGTCGGAGGCCAAGCCCGACGCCGCGTCGGCCGAGTCCGACGCCGCGTCCGACGCACAACCCGACGCGCCCGACGCCGTGCCGCACCCGACGCCGCCGAGCCCGACGCCGAGCCCGAGGACTCCCAGTCCGACGCCGAGCCCGACGCGCCAGAAGACTCCGAGTCCGACGCCGAGCTCGACGCGCCAGAGGGCTCCGAGTCCGAAGCACAGCCCGACGCACAACCCGACGTGCCCGACGCCGTGCCCGACGCCGCCGAGCCCGACGCCGAGCTCGATGCCGTGCGGCCCGACCACGACGACGGCTCCGACGTGCCCGACCTCGGGGTCTCGTCGCCGAATTCGTCGGACCCCGTCGTGGACATCCCGCCGGTGTCGCTGCCGCCGTTGGTGCTCGACGCCGTGCGTCCCGACGCCCCGTCGCCCGTTCTCCCGATCGCGCTGGTCTACACGCCAGACGATCCGAGGTTGGACGTCGATTCGGACTGATGGGGGGCGCCGAGGAGGAGGATGATGAGGAGGAGAAGGAGGAGGAGGAGGAGGAGGAGGAAGAGGCGTAGGATGGGGATGAGGGGGAGGAGGAGGAGGAGGAGGAGGAGGAGGAGGAGCACAGCCCGCGAGGCAGGCGCCTGGACGCTCGCGACGTTGCGTGGTACACAAGCTTCCTTCTCAATCCCCTTTCGCCTCTTGGCCATCGTCCCTAGGAGGAGTTGGAGGATGAGGAGGAGGGGTTGGATGATGATGATGACGATGATGGTGATGATGATGATGATGATGGTGATGATGATGATGATGATGATGATGATGATGATGATGATGATCATGATGATGATGATTTATCTCTCCGACGGTCCTGAACCACGCGTGTGCGCCCCACTCCGAGGGGCTTAAGCGCGTAGGCCTCGCTCTGCGTAAATGTTTGCCCTCTGTTGTGTGTGGTCTCTGGGAGCACAGAAGCAAGCAACAGGAGCCAGGTGGAGGGAGGAGGAGGACGAGGAGGACAAGGAGGAGGAGGAGGAGGAGGAGGAGGAGGAGGAGGAGGGGGAGAACGAGGGGGGAGGAGGATGAGGATCCAAACGGGACGCGTCCCACTGGGCGCGTCCTCCTCGGCCAGCCCTTTCTCCCTCCCTCCCTGCCCTCCCTCGTCCCTCCTCCTCCTCCTCCGATTGCTCCTCCCCCGCGGCCAGGCGCCCCGTGAACAACAACTTCCGCGCCGTGTGCAGGCGCGCCGAGAACAACAACTTCCGCGCCTGGTGCAGGCGCCCCGAGAACAACAACTTCCGCGCCGTGTGCAGGCGCCTTGAGAACAACAACTTCCGCGCCTGGCGCAGGCGCCTTGAGAACAACAACTTCCGCGCCTGGTGCAGGCGCCCCGAGAACACCTACCTCCCAGGACTTCCGCTTTCCACCTCTTCCACTCCCTTCCACCTCCTTCCTCTCTTCCACCGTCAGGATGACGCTGGTTCCAGTGTTTCTTATTGCTCGTGCAACCACTGGGAGAAATGAGCGACGGGATTCGTTTATAAGCAGTGCGGCGGACGCCGAGTTCATTCTTGAAACAGGCAGACCCGCTACTCAATCCATCACCCGTCCCCACGAGGAGATAGGCACGAGGAGGAGTGCGAGGAGGAGAGGATGGATGGGAGGGAGGCTCGGTACGAGGGTCGGGGGGTTCGGGGAGGGGGCCAGCTGCGAGGGGGATGGGTATAGATTAACCCCCGTCATCCCCCATGCGATCGGGGCCCCGACGCTCGGCTGCTGCCCACGTATGTGTTGGGGGGGGGCAGGTGGGAATGAGCGAGACGGCGGCCTGCGCCTTTAGGGTTTTATTGATTCTGCAAGCCCGCAGGCCGAGGTATGCAACAGACCCGTGGTGACGGTGGGTTGGGATACGATATTCGTGTGGCCATGGTGGGCGGTATCATGCTTGTGCGGACGCCTGCGGTTCCAATACGTGCAGATCTGGACGTAGGCGACTCCGAAACGCGATGTGCCTTGCGGTCGTTCGGCGAAGGTGATCAGACCCTGTGGAAATGCAAAGTTGAAGCAGTTCGTATGTTTTCCAGCCTTGCCGCCGACGATGTCGTTACCTACTCCGACATTTCAGCTAGGAAGCCGTACCTGTTACTGGGAGAGGGGAGTGTACAATCGTTGCTTCAAGTGCCTGCTGTATCCCGTGCGCTGGCGGAGTGGCGCGAAGAAGGCCGCGATTTCGACGTGCAGCCCAAGGCATACGCACACGCACCACCCTTCCCAATGGTCGACCTCCTGCTTCAGCGCAGGTTTCAGCATGTCTACATGTGGAACGGCGCCACCACTGCCGTTGCGAAGCACGCCTTCAGCGCAACCTTCGGCATCCACGACGACGCTACGGTAGCAGTCCAGGCCCCAAGCCTGTCAGCGACAGCGATGCTCCTTAAGGCTCACAACGTAGACAAGGCCGCTGCAACTATGCGTTGCATTTTCGACACCCTTGCGCCGACTGACCAGCAGCAACACCGCCAACGAGTATCAGAGGCTCTCCAGTTTCTTGGGCATACCTCAGACGCGTTGCGCGACAGAGGGAGAGTATATAGCATGAACGTTGGCCGCATTCACGCAGCATCAAAGATCCTTCATGCTATCTTGATCGCGACAAGGCTACATGGAGCGAGGCATCTAGAAGGTGTGCTTCGGGACGCTATTCGGTATTGCGTACATCCCTCGGTTGCCCAGGGCGTCTTGGATGCACTCGAAGAGCCTGGGTCAATCCCCTCGCCAAGTACGGTGCAGCGCTACTTCGTGACCTTCGACGTCGCTATGTTACGGGACGAGCAGGACCGATGGAACAAGTTCACTACTGATCCAGCCGAGAAGAGTGTAGAATATGGTTTGTCCGACGCTTCGCCTATTCTTGGGACAGATTGGTTGATGACCGAAACCTTTCGCTGCAAGGACCCGGCCAGGGTGTACGAACTTACGAGGCAGCTTTTGTACTACAAGCAAGATGCACAAGACCTTGCCAGCGGCTTTTTGGATTTTCAAGAGATGAGCGACGACCGACAGCACGAAGCAACGGAAGCATCTCGCATATTCATGTCGGGTTCGCAAGAACTCATTGGACTTTGGGAGCACCATCAGTTGAGTGCGGTCTGTCTGGGGGCGCAAGCAACTACTGCCGCTGACAAACTTCACGCAATTGTGCACGCCTTTCGGGTGGCATCTGGCTCCATGGCGAACTGCCAGCGCAGGACGCAAAACATCGTATCCTTTACGACGGACCTGGGAACCGAATCCGCCCTAGCGGGTGCTCTCCCCGTGTCGTTGACCGACGCGTTCCCGCACTGGGTGGACCTTTCGGAGCAAGACGACGACGGCCGCGACCACGCTGCTCCAACGCCCCAGGACGACGCCATGCCCGACGTATTTGACGACAACGGCATGTGCCAAGACATGGCAGACACCGCGGCTATCCAAGACGACTTCGGCCTACTTGAACAGGACGACAATGGCATCGAGCAAAACGCGGGCGACAACGGCAACGATGTCATCCCTGATATGGACATCATTGATGACGACGGCATTCACGACCAGCCCCGCCATCGCGACCAGCTTGGCCAGCCCGCCGACGACCAGAAGGATCACGAGCTGGAGGTGGTGGACGACGACGGCGTCGATGTGTGCGCGCCTCCTCCGCCAGCGCCACCAGTCTCAACGGGCCAGCGAGGCGTCGCCGACGAGGCAACGCTCAATTCCCGTGGGTTTTTCGATGGCAGCATACCGATCTCTGGAGTTTTGCACGTGTGCAATAATGCACTACAGGATGTCCTTCACGCCTTTTCCAATCGGGAATGGTTTATGCAGCGTGCGAAACCATTAATCATCCTTTGCGCAGATACTCACACCAAGCAACGGCTTCTGGAAAGGTGTTTCTCGTCAGATGCAGCAAAGGTGCACGAAGTTGCAATCAAGGGGATCACAAGCAGGCCGACCGAGTGGAGGTTCTCTTCAATAATTCCTGCCTTGCAGCAGCTGCAATTTGCAGAGACTGGGCTACGCAATCACTGGAACTTGGCGAAGTACAAGAATCGGCCAGGGGACGACAGGAACCAGCCAACCGCCATGGACGTGGACGCAGAGGCGCAGCCAGCAAAGCCGAAGCAGGACGATACTGGAGACGTGGGCGAGTCCGATCTGGGTCTTATTGACGAGGCTTTGGGTATTCAACACATTCACCGACCACTCCAGATCCACGGCAGCCGATCTGAATCGCTTTAAACCTCGGGCCCCGCCCGCGTAGCACTAACCGTAGCAAAGGCGACCATGCCAGCGACCACAGCCTGCGACCACCGCCCGCGACCACCGCCCGCGACCTCGCACGCGACCTCGCCTCGTCGTCGTCGTCGTCGTCGTCGTCGTCGTCGTCGCCTTCCTCCTCCTCATCCTTCTCTCGCTTGTCGTCCTCGTCGTCCTCCTCCTCCCCCTCTTCCTCTTCCCTCTTCCTCCCCCTAACCATTGGCACCCCATTCCTCCCCCTTCCTTCCCCTCTTCCTCTTCCCTCTCCTCCTCCTCCTCTTCCCTCTTCCTCCCCCTCTTCCCTCTTCCTCCTCTTCCTTCGTCCTCTTCCTCCGCCTCTTCCCCCCCCCCGCCTCCGGAGGAACGAACCTTTGGCAGGAAGTGTCCTCCCGCGTGCCAGGAATCCCCACTCGTGCGGGAGGTGTGCGCCGTGCAGACAGTTCCCGTCAGAGCCGCGGGGAGGTTCTTCTTGTGGCGGGGGGGGGGTCTGACAGAGTGACCCATAAGGATTCAGATCGGCTGCGTGCTTCCTCCCTCCCTCCTCATGCTTCCCCCTCCCACCTTCTACTCCGCCTGCCCTTCCGCATGACCTCCTCCATCCCTCCCGCCCCTTCCCCTCCTCCCATCTTTCCCGCCCCACCCCCTCCGCTCCTTTTCTCGCCCCCATGCCTTCCCCGCGCCCAACCCAACCCACTGTGAGTTTGTCGATCGCACCACAGGCTGTGAACAATCCGACGTTTTGGGCGTATAGCCATGCAGTTATGATCACAGTCCATGGGGTACTATATGAATGGCAAAATTGGTCCGAATCCTGTCCCTGTCACTGCGTTGATTTTCGGCGCAAAGACGGATACTCGGCTGGACGCCCCTATTTTGCACGACGTGCCCAGTTCATAGGCGAAACAGGCGTCAGGCACTCAACGTGCCCGATGCGTGGGCGACGCGCACCAGACTTTGCAGCTTCAAAGCACCAGGACCAACTCCAACAGCTCGTTGCACAAGGTGTTGGGTTGCTTTTAACTCGGACCGAAACGCTTCCCAGGAAAGACAGGGATATGATCGTACGCGATTGGGAACTAGCTCGCGGCAAGATGTCTGAAGTAATCGGTATCAAATTCTGCCACTGGATGCATTTGCCCCACAAGGTCTGCGTCTTAGGTTTGATTGACGGCGCCGGCACAAGCACAGACACAGCCCGAGTAGGCTTGAAGGAGTGCCTCGTCGAGTACGCTGCGATGACGGACGAGCAGAGGTCGAGCTTGTGGCCGATAGCAAAGCACATCCTGGACCCCGCTTCGCCACTACGTTCGGAAGTGCTGTCCTTCACTGAACAACATGCACCGCTGGAGTCGCTGCCCGCGCTGCAGCGGATGGCGGGCATAGTGTTGGGGATTCCCGTTTGTGAAAGGAGCATCGAAGCGAAGCATCGGCTTACCGCGCTCGCTGCATCCAGGGCCCCACACGCTTCAGGATCGTTCGTGAACGTCCACCTCCGACTTCCTGATTTCAAGCGTCGGTTGCGCACCGACTTGGGCCTCTTGGACCGCGTGGCAGATACTATGGCTGAGATGAGAACATCAGCACGCAGGCTCCTCCAAGCCTTCAGTCTGGAGGCCCACCCGACAGCCCTTAAGGAATTGGCCAGCCACGGGCGCATCAGTCTCTCCACTGCCACCAGCATTATCTACAGATTGGACAGGCAGACACAGCAGAAGCAGCACGCGCCACTAGCCGCCGCCTTTCCCAAAAAGAAGAAGGACACCAGCAAGGTTCGTGCAGAGGACTCCACAAACCATGCCTTGAGGCTTCTTTCGGTCCACGCTATGCAACACCTGCGCAAGGTTTGCAAGCCAAACGTGTTCTATTCGATCGCAGTGCCGCCAGAATCTCTGCCATACATGGACTCGGCGCTGTCAGGTCAGAGGGACATCCACCAGCCTGCCTTGTTGGCCATCGCTGATTGCGATTACACTCCACCAGCTCTGCTTCCGATCGCGGACGACGGACTTGGCGCACCCGTGCAGGACGAGGGGCTGTCTGAGGAGGCATTGACGCAGATTTCTTTGAGAGCCACGGCGCCAGAGAAGCACGTCTTCTTCAAGATCGTCCATAAGTCGCCATCCTCCAGGAAATTCTTACGGCCGCTTGGGTCAAATTTGTGCTCCGATGACATCGCAATATCAGTGCACGAAGTTGCTGGCTTCCAGAAAGCAGAGGACGGATCGACCGAGGTGCTTGTCGCCCTCAGAGGCGTGCATGCCAGACCACCACACCAGGAGGCAGAGGGCGTCGACGAGATCGCCGACGGGGGGTAATTGGACGCCGCATCCACGAAGCTCCTCAGCAGGCGCCACATCGAGGCTCTGCCACGCCTTCATGACGACCTGCTTGCGTGGGAGCCTGAAGGCGACGTGTTCTACCAGCCGCGGGCTTGGTCGCCCGAAGTCCCTCGCGAGATGTGGGGGTATGCTGGGGAAGCACTGACAGACCTCGTGGTCAGCGGCGCCCTCCCCGACTCAGACACGGGCGTCGCCACCGCGGTCGTGGACGACGCCAGCCCGCCAGAGTTGCAGGTGTTGTTGCGCCTCCAGGACGCGGGCTTGGTGGCGAGCGTTGAGAGGGAGCACCCGCACGGCGGCCAGCTCGTGGAGTGGCGCCTCAGTCCCTTCGGTTTGGCCAGCCTGTCTGCGTATGAGAAGATACGCAAGCCCGCTGCTGCCTTGCAGCGCAGGCTCGGCATTAAAGACAAGGACGAGACGACGTTCGAGGTGTTGAGCGATGCGAGCAACGCAGGGTGGACCGCCAGCCTGCTCCCCGACAAGAAGGGGGCGCAACCCCCGCCGTACAACCCGCTCGAGGATGGCAGCCAGAAGGTGTGGTACTACAAGCGTTCCCGCTGGTCGGTACCGCAGAAGTACCTGGAGTGCCTCCTTTCGGGGGACAAGGTGGTCCCGCACGGGGCAGACTCGAAAACGTACTCGGACCTCTCTGGTGGCCGCCAGCGCAGATTGGCCATCCAGGACGACCTGGGGGCCGTGGTCGTCGCCGCGGCGGAGCGGCCCAAGAAGCGGGCTCGGACGAGCGCGCCTGCGCCTAAGCACAAGCCGCTGCCCCTCGAGGGCGAGCACCCGCCCCTCGAGGACGAGCTGCTGCCCCTCGAGGACGAGGTCGGCGACGCCGGCGAGCGAGAGGACGAGGGGAGTGAGAACGAGGCCAGCGAGCAGGAGGACGAAGACAGCACGGGGCAGCCTCAGCCGCATATGGAGCAGCCTCTTCCCTCGACGCCAGTGCAGGGCACAGCAACACCTACTGGTCTGCCGCTGCCGCAGACGCCCACGACGCCAGTGCACGGCACAGCAACACCTACTGGTCTGCCGCTGCCGCAGACGCCCACGCCGCCCGTGCAGCCAGGCGGCGGCGCGCCAACACCACCTGGCTCCCCCGAGGCACTTGGCGCGCCTCTTGCGCCAACGCCGCCCGCAGCGACAAGCTCACCTTCTGACGAGCCCCTCGGCGCCCCACCACCTGGGGCGACGGGCGCGCCCTCTGACAGGGACCCTGATGGTCCAGCGCCAATCCCTGCAGGCTCGTCAGGCGCGCCCCCCGTTCAGTCAGATCCGCTTGGTCCTCCTGGGCTGCAGCCTGGTGCGCCTGCCGAGCCGCCACCGCCTGCCGAGCCGCTACCGCCGCCGCCCGCCCCCCTTGATCCCGCGGAGCGGGCCCGCAGGCGGCGCACGAACGATCCCAGCTCGGGACTTTGGGGCGCGTTCAGGTTCACGCTGACTTATACTAAAGGGACTTTGAAGTGGCAAGCCACGTGCCCTTTCCACAAAGACGAACACGATCATCCTTCCACGAAGTGCACAAAGACCAGGACCGTCCATGATCCTTCAGACGTCGATGTGGTGAAGCGTCGCCTGAAAGCGTGGTGCCTCGCTGGCATTCGCATCCAGCGCCGAGCAGGTAAGGAGGGAGAGCATGGGCGCAGGGAGGTCGAGCCAGAAATGTTGCCCGACTCATTCGACGAGCACGAGTTGGAGGGCGCCTTGCCGCCGCCAGGCACTACCAACGCAGATTGGCAGGACGGTGAACTTCCTGCGCATCCCGTTCGGGATGCTCTTCGGGCTGCTGTCACCGACGCGTTGGGACAGAGATCCAGCAGCGACAACTCCAGCAGCGACAGCTCCAGCAGCGACAGCTCCAGCGACAGCGACTAGTACGATTGCGTACTGGTTCTTATGCTGTTGGTCCCCTTCGGCGAGGGGTGCGCTTGAGATAAATTGCGACGGACGGCTTGAGGAAGTGCAGACAGTAGGAGGAACGCCCCTAGAAGGAGGAGTGTGGGGGGGTAGTGGAGC